TGTGAATGATGGGTGTGAATGTGGTTGTGGATGCGGGTGAAGTGGACGTGGGGTGTATGGATGTACAGTGTGAGATGAGCGTGTGGATGTGAATTAGTGTGGTTGTGAGTTTGGGGTCTGTTAGTGGATCATATAATTCAGCACTATACAGAGAAGAACCATTACTATATCCACGTGTAACTAGCACTTTTTCATTAGTTAATACATTTGCTGTGTGCAAATATCGTGTATTAATGATACTACCAGTGGTTGCCCAGGTTCCTATTAATGGATCATATAACTCAGTACTATTTGGATAAAAACTACCACTCAATCCACCAGTTATAAGCACCTTCCCATTAGTTAATAAGGCTGTTGCATGCCAGTGTCGTATAGTATTCATACTACCAGTTGTTGTCCACGTTCCTATTAACGGATCATACAATTTACTACTACTTATAGAAGTAGAACCAATCCATCCACCAGTAACTAACACTTTTCCATTGGCTAACATGGATGCCGTGTGTGCGTATCGGGCACCATTCATATTTGCAGTGGTGAGCCATTCTAAAAGTAGCTTTTGAATATATTTAGGTTGTCACAACAAGTCTCATTGAGTACACCAAACTATCGACACATAACTGTAGCGACGTTTCAAGCAGACTAAAATTTGAAGAAACGCGTGCAAACGCTCGAAATGACATTAGCGATTGTGAGCTACTGGCGCTAATTAAAATGAGCATTATTGGCTCACAATCATTGATTTCATTTTTAGTGCTTGCATGGTTTTTCAAATTTTTGTCAACTTGGAACTAGGATATTCTAAAAAGACAACTGTTTGTGTGTGGATGTGGTTGTGGTTGGATGCGGATCTGCATGGGGTTTTGTTGATGTGAATGTGTCGGTGTTGGTGTAGGTGGGTGTCATTGGAGACTTGATTGTTGGTTTGGATATGAGTGAGGATTGGCGTTGGGTGTGTGGATGTGGATTCTGTGTGTGGTAGCGAATGTGGGCGTGTGAGCGTGGTGGCGTATCTGATTGCGGATTTAGATGGCGTGAGAGAGTGTGGATGAATGATGATCTGTGTGAAGGTGTGAATGATGGGTGTGAATGTGGTTGTGGATGCGGGTGAAGTGGACGTGGGGTGTATGGATGTACAGTGTGAGATGAGCGTGTGGATGTGAATTAGTGTGGTTGTGAGTTTGGGGTCTGTATGTGAATGTGCTGGTTTGGGAGTGGTTGGATATTGGTAAGGATGTGGTTGTAGGAGTGCTGTGAGTGGTTGCGTCAAGGGGATATGCACACTTTGAAGAACGGGGAGTGTTGATGCGTAGGGTAGGAAGAGAAGGAAACCGTACAATGATCAGGTTAGGTGACTTGACTTGTTTGTGTGCATGACGAGATTGAGATGATGCCCGAGAATCGCAGTGGATTGGTAATTATGGGTGGCTTCTTGTGTAGTGTATGTCCTTGGTTTGTTCCGATGAGGATGTAAGATGTCAATCAGCTAGTAGTGAATGGATGTGGATAATAGCTTGCATAGTGATGTG